AGCTTTTATATAACTTGGCCCATAGAAGAGCAACTAAATCCTGATGGATGACAATAATAAAACTTAAAAACAACGTTTTGAGTATATAGCGCGTATATCTTTTAAAATGGATAAATTACGATTATTTTTAAATAATCGTAATTTATCCATTTTAAAAACCATAGTTAATAGTTTGGAAACTCTGTAAAATTCATTGTTTAACTTATTGACACAAAAATAGAGCGTAAATCAAGCGTGACCGTGCACATATCATCATATCATCATCATATATATATTCTGAAAAATAATTTCATGGATATTTACAAATAGTAATTCTACTAATATTAAGTAAACACCAAAAATATAGATCTTTATATATATAATTAGTAATAATTATAAGAATAATAATTATAATTATAAAAATAATATTTATAGTAATAAACATAAGAACCACAATAATAATAAAACAAACAACAACAATAACAAATATAATATTAATTACATTAAAAAATAATCAAATTACTAAGTCACTTGTTTTTATAAACACAATAGTTAAATATACATATAAGTTAGTCTGATAAAGCGTAAAGGTGAGTTTCCACTCATCCGCTTCCTTCACGGGAACGGGAAAGGGACGGGAAAAATAATTACGTGGGCATGCTAGTATAAGTTTTAATATGTCTGAAGGAAAACTACGCATGCTCACGTGATTCCCCCCCCCCCCTCCTATCCCGCTCCCGCGAAAAAACGGATGAGTGGAAACTCACCTTAACAACTAACCAGAGCATAAAACATTTATTTAAATTTAAAATAATAAAATATGAATAATAATAGTAAAGTTAAAAATAGTAATAATTGTGGCTACGATAAATATTTAAAACTAAAAGAAATAAAACTATAACAAAAAAAATGATGAAAATTTAAAATAAAATAAAGAAAAACAAAAAAGCATTTAAAAAAATGAGAAAGTTTAATATTGTTACATGCACGCACAAACACAAATATAAAGATATATACACATACTTATACATATACATATACAGCTTTAAAAATATATACATTTTTTTTAAATGTCTAGCAAACATAAAATTAAAACATTTAAATTAAAAAACATACGATGCAAACAAAATGAATTATACTCTACAATGCCAAATTAACAATACACAAGAATACAAAAACAAAAAACAACAACAAAAAAGACAAACGTCAAAAAAGACAAATAAAATTTAAAAAATATTCTTTTACGTTTCTTCAAAAACGGAGCAATTTTTATATTTTATTTTAATTGCTTTTAATTACTTTTCATTTTCGAATGTTTTTTCTTTTAACTTTGGATTTTTGTCTTTTCTTTTTCTTTTTTCGTTTCTATTTATGTTTTTTTTTTTTGTTGGTTTGATTGAATTGGTTTTTTGTTCTTTTTTTGCTTTTTCATTTCCTTTTTTTTCTTTTCTCCACTCTCTTTATATTTATTTTTCTTATTTTATTTTTTTTCTTTGTCTTTCTTTCTTTCTATTTTTTTATTTTTTCTAATTTTTTTTTTGTTTTTGTTTTTCTTTAATTTATTTATAAAATCGTTATAAAAAAGCGTCCGCCATTGCGGAAGTCTCTGCACTGTCTCTGCACACAAACTTGTTAACGTTGTATAACGCTTGTAACTTAATGTGATTTTAGAATAAAGTTCATTAATCAAACTCTTGAAAATGAAGTAATATTGTTAGTATAGATTCTAAACTATTTTGGTAATGTTGCAGAATAGTGGCGTAAAATAATTTTATTTTTTTTGCTTATAAAATCTGCGATGGAGTTTTATTAAAAGTAATTTTAATTACATTAATTTTAGCGATGCGCAACTAATTTAACTTTATTGATTTTTATTTTTCTAAGATAAACAAAAATATTTTTATTTTTTAAGTATTTTTTTAGTACCGAATTTTAGTTTAATTTTTAAATCTTTTAAAAATTAAATTTTTTAGATGGCTTTAAATCGAGGAAGACCTAGGGCTATAACAAATATAGTATATAGTATATTTACCAACAAAATTTTATATATAAATATATTTATATAATAAAAATCATAAAATATAACATATTAAATCAAAATAATAATAAAAAAAATAGAACGTAAAAAAATATTTATTAATTTAGAATAATATATATATATATATATATATATATATATATATATATATATATATATATATATATATATATATATATATATATATATATATATATATATATATATATATATATATATATATATATATATATATATATATATATATATATATATATCTACTTAGATTTATTATCTACTTTGCTATTTATAAAGATTTTTTAATTTTAATCCCTACGGATGAGAGCGCATAAACCATAAACAGTTTTATTTAACGCCACTATTCTGCCACATTACCATTGAGATGGTAATGTGGTATCTCGGTAGACTTAATAATAATAAAAAAAAATGAAAACATGATTTTATAACTAATCTTTATATTCAAAACTTTTAAAAATCAACATTATATATAAAATGTATAACTTAATAATGAGCAAATAACACAGTCTTTTTTTTGACTTAAATATATAAAATTGATTTTTACTCAAGTAAAAAAAGAACTATTTTTAGAATAGAAAAAACAAAAATATTTACTATTTTTTAAGTTTTTCTTTTAGTCTATATGGTTGTTTCATGTTTTTATGTAATCCTTTCTTTGGTTGTTGTCCTGTTGTTTTTTTTTACTTTATGCTTCTTAACAATGTCTTTAGCGAAGGAATGACTTCAAACTTCGAAAAAATAAACCTAGTATCAAAGTAGAATTTTGACTATCTTTTTCAAATTTCAAATTTTGACGATCTTTTTCAATTTTTAAATCACATTTATCAATAATAGCCCTGTAATATTTATCTAAATCTTTATCACAGATATTTTTTTTGATCAAAAAATCTGTCTATACTTTAAGTAAGTTTCGACTGTTCTGTATATAAAAAAAATATTTTTTCTGCTATAATTAAAATTTGTTCAAACTCAATTGTAATGCCAGTAAGTTCACCACAATTAAGACTATTGACAAGCTTTTGCTCAGTTATGTTTCATTTTAACAGCTTTTTATTATAGATAATGTTTTTCGTAATTGAATATTATTAGTTCAAGAATTTTGAATTTTGTTTTAAATTTTATGAATAACATAACCTCCAAGTTTTGCAATCCATACTTTTCCCTATCACATATTGCAGGTGTATTTAATGTTTGATCATTATTAACAATAGATATATTGTTTTTATAATAAGCTTATATACTATCTGCAAGTTTGCTTAATAATAATGTAACGGAATCTTTATATTCATCACGACAATTTAAAATTCTTACTGTGAATTACTACATTCCCAAAATAAATAAAGTAGGACTCGTTTAAACCTCTAGAACAAATTTTAGGAAGAGTTTTAAATTGCTCAATAATTTAATTGCCTTAAGAAAAGTCTCCCATAATCTTGCAAAACACATTTTTTATTAGTGAAAATAAAATCTCGATATTAAAGTTTAATTTAAAATTGTTAGCATTCTCAGCAGCTATATCGTTCATAAGTGTTTATTAGATATGTACAATTTTTAAAACTTTTAAAAGTACTCATCTTCTAAAATATATTCAGCATAATTTTCAAGTTCGTGATTTTACAAAAGTTTCTAAAATCATCACAAATATTATTACAGTTTCCTCATTCTACAGCTATTGTATATTATGAATATTATGTTATGTGCACGGTCAATGTCACGTGATTGCATTTTCAACTTAATATAGTTTTTGTTACGCAAAGTTCCGTGTTTCCAAACCAGTTTAAGTCTATTAACTATGTTTAAACGCATTAAGCCTAGATTACTTTTTCGGGTTACATTATCAAGCTATATAAGTTTATTCTTTTTGTAATATTATTTTGTTGCTTTGATATATTATTAATAGTTTAATAATTTGTGTTTATATATAAAATAAATTTATTTTTATAAATAAAATAGTTTATAAATAGTTAATGAATAAAATAGTTTATAAATAAACTTTATAGTTTATAAATATAGTTTATAGTAATAATTTATAAATATAGTTTATAGTTTATAAATAAAAAAATAAATAGTTTATAATTAAAATAAAATAAAAATGTGTTTATAAATAAAATAAAATGTGTTTATAAATAAAATAAAATAAATGTTTTTATAAATGAAATAAATTTGTTTATAAATAAATAAAATAGATGTGTTTAAAAATAAAAATAAAATTTTTTTATTGCCTTTATGTGCTCATTTTTCTTAGCAAAACAACAAACAAACTTATGTTATCCATTTAAAAAGATATACGCGCCATATACCCAAAATGTTGTTTTCAAGTATTACTTTCGTCGTTTGCATATCAGGATTTAGTCACTCTTGCCCCATATATATAATAGTATTAAGCTAAAACTTCAAACTCGTAGATAATAAAATCACCGAATATTAGTTCACAATATAAAACAACGAGCTTCGTGTTTTTTTTTTGGAAAAATAAACCAATCAAAACGCACTCAACATAAAATTGCGCAAACCGACACAAAAATTGCGCAAAATGACATATAAATCTTAATTTTATCAGAAAACGACATATAAAACACAGAAACCTAAACAGCAATAAAAAAAAATAAAAATCTAGTGAAAAAAACCCAGATGTGGCAACTCTAGAAAAACAGCAAACCAGCTTATACAACAAAATAAAAAAAAAAAGATTTTATACTAAAAAAAATTATGTAGTATTTCTTTCGAATCCTGCAATCTTTCGTATACTGCACTTAAAACTTTTAAACTTTGCGTTCAATTATCTCATTTAACATATTCGTTGAGTATTCGTTGGTTTAGCGAAATTATTTAATTCTTTATTATGTCTTTATTATGCAAACCTCGAGTTAATTAACAAACTATGGTGATACGTGAGTTTTTAATCGCAATGTTTTGAAATCTGCCAAATTAACGCATGCGTAATCTTAATCTGAAAATTGTTGTCTTTAAAGTTCCTAATTTTCAACTTATACATTAATAGGTTTTGTCTTAGGCATGTCTTTGGTTTATAACTTTTCATCCTAATATTAATAAAGTATTAATAAATTGATTATTTAAAATAAATCATGTGGTGCAAAAATATTTTTAATAGTGACTATAATCACAATTCCAAAATGATTATAACTTTGATATTTCTCAAAGTTTTTGTTATTAGTTACATTCTACTAAAGTCCACTAGTGAATTCCCACATTTCACTTTTTTTCAATTACGCTATCAACCTGCTATAAAAAGTAATGTATTATTAAAGCAAGATTTTGGGGGTCTTTTAATAAAGCAAAATTATTTACAAAGTAATTTGTCATGGCATGAACGAACTGACAAGTTCGATCATCTTGATAAAAACATTATATATGCAAAATTCAAAATTCAAAAAGTCGTGAATCGTAAACATTTTAATATTATAGCCATAGTATCATCAGCTCCTACTAGATCAGATAGAAGGATAGCAATTCGTGATACCTGGTGGACTCAATGCAATTCATCTTCTAGGGTATGTATGAAATAGTCTATTTAAATAATGATTTTTTAAAACTGACTGTTAACTGTATTAGTTAAATAGATTAATAATAATCTACATTTGGTTAATTCAGTGATTTTATAGTTAATTTAGTTTATTCAAAATTGAATATATATATATATATATATATATATATATATATATATATATATATATATATATATATATATATATATATATACCTTCTATAACGTATTTAGATTAGCATTTGCTCACTAGTTTTGCTTATCTTTATAGCATACCGCGTTTTTAGAAAAAGAAAAAACCAAACAAAGAATAATGAAAAAAAAGATTGCTGCCCCATCCCAAACCCTTAGTCTATGTGGCAGCACTCCGCTGTGAGTCAGGCTATTTGTCAGTCAATGTATATCTTTTATAATGTGTGTAAACTTTTCCAAAAACACTAGTAACATATTTGACGGTTCTTTCTACCTCTTGGGTATGACAAGGAAAATTTAATTTGTTGGGACAACAAAATGATCTTATTGTGTTTGAGTTTAATGAAACCTTTCATAATGCAGCAGTTATAGTTTTAGGTACCTGTATTCTAATTTTGGTGTTTGTGTCAGAAATTGCATAAAATATTCTCTGGATGGCAAAGTTATGAATTTCTTAGAAGAACGAATTGAGGCACATATTCAAATCTTGTCTTTTATTTTTGCAACACATTGGGTCATAAATTTCTATTGACTCTTGTTAATCAATTGACATGATGCATATTCCCAGGCTCTGCATATTTTATATAGCTAACATCAACTTCCGAAAAATTCTTAGCTAATGGCCTAACTTATCCCCTGATTGACCTAAAGTCATATTATTGGTATTAGTTGAACATCAACTTAAATTGGTTTTTTTATTTCACCTCCAAATGTTGATGTTCCTGTAGTTAAACCATTTATCAGTTTAAAGACTTTTCTAAATGGAGTCTAATTGCAATGCAGTAAACGTAATAGCCACTGCAATGGTTTACCTATTGTCATTTCAATTTTTAAATAATTTAATTTCTAATACCTGTATTTGCGTTTGTACCATCGTTTGTACCAAACAGAAATTATATTCTGTAATACATCAATAGCCTTCTCTGATTGAGCGGTAACATAATCAATATATCTATTACCAGGAAAAGCAACAATGGTATAATGATTTTCTTTTTCAAACTTTATTGTTTTTGTATCATAAAGATACTCCTCTATTCTTGTTTCATCAACATTTCCATCAAATCCAATGCAGCAATAATCTGCTCTTGGTGGCATTTCAATATTTTTATTCTTCCAAAAATCATTTTGTCTTCAAATTTTTGTTTGTTTTAAGATATCAGCAGAGTTTATTTTCATGTCTATTAGAAGAGCATTGATTAATTAACAAGCATGCCTATTTGACCAGTGAAAGCCATTACCTTGCACAAATTTGGCTACTTATGTCTGTTTTGTGGCAATTTAGCACTTTCTTCAAAATATGATAATGGTTTTTTGTTTTCTTCTGTTGGTATATAAGCTTCTCTATCTTGTTTTATCATCATAGAAAGTGTTAACTGATGCTATGCTAATACGATCTAGACAAATTATAGTCATGGTTTGTGGTCAGACTTGAACAAAATTTCATTAAAGACAAGCTTTTTTTCCATTCAAAATGTGATTTTATCTTCTTTAACATTACCAAAATTTCAACAACAAAAAAATGTGAAATTTTTACTTTATTTCACTTTGTGAAAAAAATTTATTTTATCCATATTGACATTCAACCACTGCTGAATTTGTAAATATACTTGAATAGAATAATACTTGATCACACATTTGGTTGGTTAATAGTTTAATAAAATTAAACCTCTAAAAAACAATATGAACCTATGTAACCTGGCAATATGATCCAATGTACAAACAATATGATCAATATTATCTGCTACTGTTATAACTACATTTAATAAGAAATACTACTGCTTTAAGAAAACACAATTATAATAACCACAAATAATAAGAACTACAAACAGTGGTAAAAACCATAAAAACTAGCTGGTAGGACCTGCACGATATGGGTTGTGCCAAGTCTAATCCACACCCAACAATTTCTAAACTTGTTCCTTAGTCTTTATACTTTAATTTATTTTAGTAAACGGCGGAAAATAAATCAATTTCATATTCTGGTAGATGGTAAAATACAAATTTTAATTGCAATTACAATTAAAGTTTGCATTTTACCATCTACCAGATGGTAAAATGCGAACTCTTAAGAAAATTAAATCAAACTTTAGTTGCTCGTTAAATTATAATTAATTTATAAATAAAGTCTAATTTTAATAAAATATATCGAATACCAATATATTTAATTTAAAAAATCAATGAGCAAATGTTTTTAATATCATGACTGTTGTGGTCATTAAAATGTCTTGGTTCACTAAAAAGTGCACAGTTTGCATTTTACTGACTACCTAAAGTTCTTGATTTCTAATTTACTGTTCTTTAGAACTAATTAGTATTTTTCCTTATTACATTATTACTTGTTTACTTTAATATTTTCTACATAATAAAAGTATCTTTAGTATATAAGACAGTTGCGTGAAACTTAGGCTATGATACTATTTTAACTCTCTCATAAGGATTTATTTAAAAAGCAAGTTTGGACATTGAAAAATAACCCAAGAGACCTAGTTATTTAAAATAAGTTAGCTTTATCTGTTTGATATATTTTATAAAAGCTTTCTGTAAAAAAAACTCTTAAATTGTTTATATAATTGTTAAAATATATTAACAATTAAGCTGTTTTAACTGCGGAATTAAAATTGCGGCAACCCTATTCCACATCCAGCTATTTCCAAACTTGTTCTTAGTTAGGTCTCTATACCTTAAGTAAACAATAAAAAATCAGTCGATATAAAGTTTATGGTTAACAATTGACTTAATATACTTTAGAAACTGTACTTATTTACTTAATGTACTCCAATATTTTATACATAAAAGGATCTTTAACATAACGGAGACAGTTGTGTAACATTTCTTCAGGTGTTTTTGAAAACTTAGGCTATAATCAAGATTTTACCCTCTCATCAAGATTTATTGAAAAAACAAATTTGGACATTAGAAAAAGGGCCTAAGAGACTTGTTATTTTAAATAAGTTCGCTTTATCCGTTTGATACTTTTTATAAAAACGTTGCTGTAAAAAATAAAACTGTTAACAAATTTATTCAATTAAGCTGTTTTTACATCTGAAGTTATTAAACATGTTGTTTGTGCTAATCAATACTTAATGCAAATGAAAACTTCGAGTACAAAATGCGATTTAAGTATAAATGATTTCTATTCATATATATAAAAAGCGGCGGAAATATAAAAAACAAAGCAAAAATAATCAATATATCTATTTGAAATAATAAATCCAAAAATAAAAAAATATAGATATTTACTTAAGAAAAAAAAAATATTTTTCTTGAGATTAATTAAAAATATAAACTTAAAAAAAAATTACAAAAAAATATTATATTTAACAAAAAGTAACAAAAATACTTAAAAAACAATTTAAATTAAAACCTAAAAATGGAACAAAATTATTTTAAACATAATACATATTAATTACAAGTTAACATGTCATGCAATCAATTAATTTTTTTAAAAACTCAAAAATGCGGAAAAAGTGGATAAGAAACTTTTCTATTTTTCCATAACCCTGACAGATCAACTTAAATGTGAGCTAAGCCTATTAGCATAAAACATCACAACAATTAATTAAATAGTAGAACATGTTAAAGTAAACTCTAGATAACCTAAGATAAACTCTAAGATAACCTTTAATGGACAAAGAAATTAGTTTAAAGAAAATTACAAATATTGGGAGTATAATATATATAAAAAAAGCTTAAGTTGAATTTCAAACTTAGTTTATATTGTTGAGGGTTGAGTTATCCTGAGTTTATTGAACATATTTTAACTACTAACTGCACACACTTAAATACATACATAAACATTTAAAAAGCATAAATCTTTTACTTTATTTAACACATATATGTTAACATATAGGAAATATATGTTAACATATGTTAACATTAACATATAGGAAATAACACATTATAAGCAATTACCACATCATAAGACATATTAATACTTATCAAAAACCATTGCAAACATCATATTTTAAAAATGAAATATCATTTGTGTAATATACATTCGATGACATACCTTGTAGTGCATGTTAATCAGTTATACAATAAATTATAAAATGTCTTGGTTCTGGAACATGCTACATAGAATTTGGTTGTGAAATAAGTCCTTTTGAAATTAGCATTAACTTTATCAAATGTTTTGTAACTTTAGAAAGAGAAAGAGTATAATTAGAAAAACCAGCTCAAATATGACAAGAAGACGTAAAGAAGAGGACTCAGTGAGATGGCAACCATTCATTGATGTAGAAATGTCAACAGTACTGCAATAGTTGTTTGCAGTAAATAACTGAGTTTGGTTGAAGTTGAAATTCACAAGCCACTGCAAGTTCTAAGCTGTTAATGAGGTGAGATCAGATTTAAGATCGGGTGCCTGTTCTAAGTTATCAAAAGTTGAATCATCAACAAATAGAGCTACTTTAGATGTAAGATTGTCAGAAAGATCATTAATGTAGATAAGTAACAAAATAGGACCAAAGATAAAACCTTGAGGTACCCCAGAAGTTACTGGAAATGATAAAGAGTGTTGGCCTACAATGATGACTTTAATAAAGCAGTTAAAAAGAAATGATTCAATAATCCCAAAAACTTTCCCAGATACACCATATAAAGCAAGTTTATGGAGAAGATCAGTATGTTAAACTTTATTAAAAGCTTTTGATATGTTAAGAGCAATAGCCCTTGCCTTGCTGCCTCCACCTAATTCACAATAGATTCTTTCAGTAATAGCAGTTATTAAGTCAGCCATAGAACAAGAAGATCAAAAACCTAATTTATTAGCATAAAACATATTGTAAAAGTTGTTAGACTTAAGAGAGTAATAAGGGTGTAAGAAATTTGTTGATCAAAGACCTTGCTAATAATAGAGAGAAGATTGATTTAATAACATTTGTGAGTAGTGCAATGATAGGTCCAAAAAATATGGTCTGAAGAAAAAGTACAAGATAAAAGATTTATAGAAATTATTGCATTATTGAAACCACCTAAAAGAAAAAAACTTTCAGGAAATTGAACACAAGCTAGAGACAAGACATAAGTCAAGGTTAGTGATTAGGGTTGTCTGGAAAAAGAGTCACAAAGTTAACTGTCTGAGTAAAAGATTGAGAAATGCAGAAGTTATGTGTTTTAGTGCCAGCAGGGTCAGTGGTGTTAGAGCTGAGCTATTTAGTGTGATGAGCATTAAAGTCACCGATAGCAAAAATATTGGCAGAGGGGTAAAGAGGAAGGGTATGGTCAATATGATCAGAAATTACATTTAAAAAGAACAAAAAGAAATTTGTTAGAGTTAAGAGATGCTAAGCGGAAACACATAAAAGAATAATCAAAAGTTTCAAAGCTGATTTCTCAACAAAAAGGTGAATTGATATGTAAGTATACCCTCAAGCCAAGCATGTGACTATTCGAGTCTCAACAAATCAAAGGATAGTAGCCATTAATACTGAGATCTGATAAAGCAACACTCGAATTTAATTTAGTTGTACAAAGAGCAACCAAGTCTTGTTAATTTTGAAAGAAGATATAACTGATAAAAAGATATATATTGAAATAATATATATATATATATAAATAATAATAAAGAAATATATTGAAACAGTTAGGTGGTGGCGATGGTTTTTGGTGTTTGATATTTTTTTGTTACTTTAAGAATGGTTTAAGTTAAGGAGAAATCATTCATAGATAAAGCATCCCAAGAAATGAGCTATGCAGTTATCTCAGTCCTGCTAATTAACATAAAGTTGTATCTTCGGGCTCTATATGGCCTCAACGTTGCACACCAAAAGCATTAACATTGACACCATTCATGCCCAACATGGCACAGTTAATACGCTAATATTTTTCACCTGTTGATGGAATCAGTACTGGTAGTACTGGGTAACAAGGAACTTATAGGTGGATGAACACCTCACTAAAGGTTCAGTCAGAGCACAAACAAAGAGCAACTTATGAGTGAAAGAACACCATGCCAGATGTTTGGATAGAACACAAACATACATATTTAGTAAATTACAGGTGAGCTAATGCTGTACAAAAATAGATGCCACTAAAGACATGATATTAGATAGTATTGGTAGTAGGAAGTACACTTCTTGTAGCCTTAGCTTAGAAAGCAAATCCTTTGAGGCAGCAGAACATTATATATAACCAATAGTAGGGTGATCATGATGACCATACGCCTGACCTGACACTTTAATGAATTTTTTTGTTGTTGTTTAGTGAAAAACAGTTTTAAAAAAACTGTTACTGTTAATACCATTTTATGAGTAACAGATTAAGTTGCCAATTTTTAAAATGATCAAACAATTAAAACAAAAAAAATTATGGTTCTATTGTCTTCTTTAATAAAAAAAATTATGGTTCTCTTGTCTTCTTTAATAAAAAAAGTTTTTATGGAATATTTAATCTCTATAATAATTAGTTTTTTCTTCTATATTTTTTTTCTTCTTTTTCTTATATATTTCTTATATATTTCTTCTATATTTCATTTTTTCTTCTGTATTTCATTTTTGATCTAAATAAAAGCTGCTCATACTAACACCTCACTTTAAAATGTCAAAAATTATACTAATTTTAAAAAATTATACTTTACTTATAAAGGTAGTTCAAGAAGTGCAAAAATTATACTTTACTTATGAAGGTAGTTCAAGAAGTGCAAAATATATATTTTGCTTATGAAGGTAGTTCAAGAAGTGCAAAAGTTATACTTTACTTATGAGGGTAATTCGAGAAGTGCAAAAAATTATACTTTATTTATGAAGGTAGTATAAGAAATGCAAAAATTATACTTAACTTATAAAGGTAGTTCAAGAAGTGCAAAAAATTATACTTTACTTATGAAGATAGTTCAAATTACAACTAAGTGACCATGGCTTTTGTATTGTAATTCATTCACTTTAACAGGACTTTCAGGACACCTGTATACTGCTGTCCTAGCAGTGTATTATATGTATTATATTAACTATGGAATTTATCCTGTGTAAAGATTTATGAATAATATTAACATATTTCTATTTAACTTGTTTTATAATTTATTTTTTCTAGGTATCTATTAAGTGCATGTTTCTTACAGACTGGAAAGATCCTTACTCTAAACTTGGTAAAAGCCTTTTGTCTGAAGCTGATACATATAATGATATGTATTTTCAAAACCTGACAGGAGGTCATGATTTTGGTAAAAGGTTTCTTTATCATATGGTATGGTCCATGCAAAACTTTGACTATGATTATTTTTTACGTCTTGATGATGATTATTTTGTGTGTATGGAGCGATTTCTATATGAAGTTCCAATGCCCCCAAGGAAACTTTATCATTGGGGTTGGGTACATTGTATCAAAAATATAGTGCGTCCTGAAGAAAGTATTATTTTATTATCACGAGACATTATTGAAATTTTTTTAGGTCAAGATCCTGAAAAAATTCTTTGTAATAGATGGGCAGATCAAATGATTGGTATTTGGAACAACATTCTTAATCTGCCTAAATTTTATCACCACGATAGACGCTTACATCATGATCCCCCTGCTCGAGATATTGATAGTTTCAGAACTAAGAAAGATATTTGCACTGAGTTTATTGGTGTTCATGGATCTTATCCTATACAAATGAGAACTTTATGGCAGCATAGGGGTTCCAGTAATTATGAAAAAAATAGTTCTTTAGACAATTACAGCAATTTTTGTTGGTTTGATTCAATTATGAACTGGGAAAATTTTGGACCAGACTGGAGAGTGGAGCCAAAGTTATGCAAAATTGATCCAGATTGGGGCGGAAATTTTGGCTCTGCCTACACTGGGCGACAAGGAAATTAGCTTTGTTTGTGTGTGTTTTACACGAGTGTGTATATATTTTTTAAATCGTGTTATTCAAATGCAATTTTGTTGTATTTATTATTAAATTATCTTTACAACTCATTATTTTATTGCTTGAGTTTTCATATGTTATATAAAGACCACTTGCTTAACGTTATGTTTGAATTAAAAAGAAAAGACTTATTTACTTTCACTATACATTTTTATTTTTTTAAGAAATCTTTAATCTGCATCTGCTTTTATATTGTAAATATACATTTGTAAGTTATTAATTAGGTCTCATAAAATTTTTTTTTGTCAAAATTAATTATTAATAAAAAAGAAAATTTTTTTAAGGAAAAAAAACGCTTTTTTTTAAGTCAAAATAATTAAAAATTGCGGAATTTCTGCCAATATTTCCCATATTTGGGTAATATTGGTTTTTAAAGATTTTAAAAATTAACAACTGTTATTTTGCTATTTTTAATAATTTCTATATTATGTTACATTTGCTATGTATATGCAATTTATTTGTCTTCTTTTTCTCTTATAGTGTCAATGGATTGTATTTTTTATTGATTTTAGTTTTTGGGGTACTTTTGTGCTGAATTGCACTTGCTTTGATTAGTATGAGAATTTACAATAAACTGCGGCTTTTTTTTTTTTCTTTTTTCCCTCAATTTTTTAATTTCTTCTGTTTTTTATTTCAGTTAACAAAAAAATATTTATGGAGTGTATTGTTTGTAAAGAACCAAATTTAAATGTGATTATAAAGTTGTATAGATCGTGGTATCAAAAGTCATATTTGCACAGTAGGTGGTCATAGGACATTCCATGGTATAAGTTTGTCTACTTTATCTAGGAGAGATCACCCAATTAAATAAATAAAATTGAATCGATCCAGTAAACTTCTTTTAACAGACGAATTGATGAGAAAAGGAAATACCTGTTTATAATTATAGAGGTCCAAAACTTAAATCGTATTAAAAAAACAACTTTAAAACTATGAGTTGAACTATTGTTTCTTTACTTTCTTACCTTCGAATCTATCAGCCGGTTGCACCTGCAAAGCCACAGGATTATTTTCAATAAAAGAAACGTCAGGACCAAGCTTATCGGGATACATGCAAGTCATATTTAGCACATAAGTGCCAAATATGATATAGCACATAGGTGCTAAAACTGACAATTATTATGTTTCTAATTTCGATAAAAAAACCTTAATCCTTCGGATTTGACGTGCGTTTATTCAGCTTTGTTATTCGTCATTCATCAATTAAAGATGATAGAATTAAGGCAATCAAAATTGTAGTCCAAAGTTTCTAATCATAGCAGTACATCTAAATGGTTTTCATACGCTGATGTCTCCTGCCG